TGAAGGGAGGGCTAGGAATGGGGAAAAAATAAGAACCAAGATGCATTAAGTAAAGGTACAATTCCCAATGAGAAATGTAATTGTGTTGTATACCTACAATGTATCAATAAAAGAATTTAATACATTAAAAAAAAATAATTACAATACAGTTGATTATTAATTATTTGAAATGTTTAGGACTAGAAATGTTTTAGATTTCAGGATCTTTCACATTTTGGAATATTTGCAGACTTATCAATGAGAAAAGATTTTAGAGTATTTCAGATTTTTGGATTAGAAATGCCCAACTTGTATTAAATTCAGAAGAAATATTTAAAAAATAACCAGGGATACTCTGTATCATATATCAAAACATATAAGAAAGCTTTAGTAAATATACAATATGGAAGGATCAAGAAGAACTCTAGGGATAAAACATAGGTACAGATATTTTAGAAATGGATTTTGTATATATAAATTTCCAGCAGGTGATATTTTAAATCAACAAGGAAAGGCAAAATAGTCTAACATATGATTTAGAGACAACTGGCAAACCAGTTGGAAAATATATCCTTATGCTAGCAATACACAGAAAAGTTACACAAAGGAGGCTCCTGGTAAAGACAATGGTTTTAACATTTGCTTTATCATCTTTTCCTCTCCAAACCTCACAAAATGGCAGTAGCAGAACTCTAGTACCAGAAACAGCTATTAGAGGAAGCTAGGGGTTGTGTGTTTCTCGTCTCTGGAGATGTTCAGAAATCTGCAGTACAAGATACACCTCAATAGAAATGAGAGTGGGGCTGAAAACAAGGATGTGGTAAAAGTAAGTATGTTGAAAAACGAGATTCTGAGATCCATTCTTATAGGTACACATGGAGGGGGATTCTTGTCCCTTACCTGTCAAGAGATCAGAGGTTTCTTTTTTTTTTTTTTTAAGAGAAATAATCCAGAGAACTCTGGACTGGAGCTGAGGGTGGAGGCAATAGCTACAAAATGAGAAACAAAACCCTTTCTTTAACTCTCTAAGTGCTGGCAGCTTAGGTTTATGCACTCTAACCCAAAGATAATATTCTCAGGTATCTTTCTGCCCAAGAACACAGACACTTCCCAGTGAAGCTAATGAGTCAACAACCCTCCCCCAGCTTCTAATGAGCCTTCTCAGATCTGTTTTTGTATGAGAACACAGTACTGATCATCAAATACCTTATGACAAGCTTTCAATACAAAGGACAATGATCCGAACAAATAAACACATATGAATGAGAGATCAAGAGTTCTGAGACAGAAAAAAAAATATATTAAGATCCTCAGACTAAGAGGCAAGGTATTACATTCACAAAATAAAAATAGGAATCTGTAAAAGTAAGCCTTCATAATTAAAAGGAATTTGACCCAAAAATGATGTTAGGTATAAAAAAAAAAACATTAAGTTGAGTCTATCAGAAAATTGAGAGGTGCTGGTGAGGACAGTTAAAAAAAGAAGGTTAAGAAAGCTAGATGATCAGTCAGTATAGTCCAGTGGAGAACATGTATGGAGGAAAATTATCAAAGCAAACAAAAAGCCACCAAGAAAATTTCCTAGAGGTGCTGGACTGCAATGACGAAGAAATGAGTATAGTGGAGAGAAAGCTAAACACCAAACACATCATTATTTTGTCACAACAAGGATGTAAAGATGATCCTACACACTTCCAGAGGACAGTGGAGATAACATTAATAAAACTAAGAATCAGAATGATTCTGGACTTCTCAACCTGAACAGCATGGCCAAAAAACTATGGAGCAGTGCCTTCAAAAATTCTGAGGGAACATGGTTTCCTTCATAGAACATAAGTCCTAGCCAAATTACCAACCAAGTGTAAGAGCAGAATAAAGATGCTATTAGACATATGCCGAATCAGCCCCAGTCCGGGTAACAATCCACTGGACCCCCCCCTCCCCCCACTCCTCTGTACAGCCACCTGGTTCCACACTACAAAGACGCAGAGGACAC